TGGGAAGGTGTTCACGCAGGAGTTCAAAGAAGGGCGCAGAGCCAGCCACACAGCCCCCCAGGTTCTCTTCAGCCACAGGGAACCTCCTCTTGAGCTAAAGGACACAGATGCCGCTGTGGGCGACAACATTGGCTACATCACCTTTGTGCTGTTCCCCCGCCACACCAATGCCAGTGCCCGAGACAACACCATCTACCTGATCCACACGATCCGGGACTACCTGCACTACCACGTCAAGTGCTCCAAGGCCTATATCCACACACGTATGCGGGCAAAAACATCTGACTCCCTCAAGGTGCTGAACTGTGCACGCCCAGATGCGGAGAAAAAAGAAATGAAAACAATCACGGGAAGACGTTTTCATCCCGCTAACTCTTGGGAATGGGGGAAGTGCTGGCGACTGAAGGCTGGACCGCTTGCTGCCAGATAATCGTGGCCCTTCATGTCGCACCTCTCCAGGTTCTAAGGGAGTCTCCATTTGGGTTCCATTTTGTACGCATTTGGAAAATAATCTGCAGAAACGAGCTGTGCCTGCAAGGACTTCATAGTTCCCAAGAATTAAAAAAAAAAAAAAAGGAATTCCACTTGATCAACTTAATTCCTTTTCTTTTACAGTCCCTGCCTCATACCCTTCCCTCACACCCTCTTTTCCAAGCTGTTTCGCTTTGCAATATGTTACTGTAATGAGTTGCAGAATAATGCAGTCTTAACTTGTTTTCTCTTAAGTACTTGAGTTCAGAACTCCTGTATCTAAAGAAATACGGTTGGGGTCATTAATAAAGAAAATCTTTCTATCTTAAAAAAAAAAATCAAAGAACATAATAGAGATCTACATTGTAATGTTTATGTAAAATGCAATAATGACCAAGGTACATATTTTTCTTCCATTATTTGAAGGATAAATTTTTAAAAGATGGGAAGGCATAAAGCTGCGCACATTTTCCATACCAGGTCTCATGCGATACTCTGAAAAAAAAAAGCGTAGGAATTCGTACGATGTCTCTCAAGGTGGGTGCCTGACATTAGATGTCTGTCTAGTGCCAACATTAGATGGACTCCTGTCCTGCCCAGCTTGTCCCACCCATGGGTGCTGTTTCTCCTCCACCTCTGTGCTGTGCTCTCAGCCCAATTACTAGGCAGTTCATCAGTACTTCTCTCTCTAAATTGTGGTGTGTGTGTTATGCAGGAATCAATCACCATTGAAGATGTGGCCATCACATTCACCCCAGAGGAATGGGCTATGCTGGACACAGCACAGAAGACGCTGTACAGAGCTGTGATGCTGGAAACCATCAGCACCCTGGAGTCCGCGGGTGAGTCTGTCTGCTCGAGTGTGTCTTTCTATGTGAGCCCCACCTTCTGTCCTGTTGGTAATCCGCAGTGTCTAGGACACATGCCCTGAATCCTGCTCTGTCTCTGCTCAGGTTCATTCATCACATTACAACCATGTCAAAGGTAATTTCTTCTACTTTTATGGGCTTCAAAATTATTTTTTGACTTAACGAGCATAAATCTTGAGATGCTGAGCAGAGCAGAGAACTAATCTTTATAGACAATATAAATGTGTCACATACTTGATGGATTTTTTTTTTCTGAGCAATACATTAGGGTTGTGATAACTGCGAACCTTACAGGACTATGAGTGGAGCTGAGGAGCTTATACTGGATGCTGTTCTAGATGACATTCACTCTGCCAAGGAAGAATATATGTCTTTCCATGTGAAAACATGCTTAGTGACCATCTTGTGCTCTTCATAATGTCTTCATGCTTAGTACTGTGTGTTTAGAATGCACGGCTCCACCCTTGGAGAGTGGGTCATGTGCAGACCTCATCTCACAGCTCCCTTCTTTTCCTCTTTCCTCACTTTACTTTTTTGGAAAAGAGTATCTTCCTCTACTTCCTTACCCTTTTAAGATCTTTATGTGTATTTTGATTTTCTCAAAATCTAAAGTTATGTGATATTTAAGGTTCTTTTTCTGATTTATTTTTTTCCTGCAAATCCAAGAAGTAACTTCCCTATTTTCCTGCTTAATGAGTTGCCCAAGCTTTTTGTCTGCATTCTTCCTATATGTTCTAGGAAGACTTCCTTACCCTTGGGAATAGGGCAAAATGATGTATTCCTCTGAACTTCATAACCAACTTTGTTACTCTGTCCTCAACAGGATGCAAGTGCGGCAAATCAGGTTTCCTCTTTCACATGGATGACACAGAAATCCTACAGATGGAAAAACACACAGCCTTCCCCACAAACCAGAATCCAGGTAAAAATGAGACTGGCATTTCAATATAGAAGATAGCCAGGCCAATGTTGATGCAAAATACATGGGTAGCTGAGTGATACAGTATTACATGATACTATTCTAACTCTGGAGCAGTCACTGGCCAATGTTTTCCAGCATTGTCATTATTTCTTTTAGATGATCTTCACTATTTATGTAATTTCATGTCATTATTTTGCCTTCAGAAAAAAAAAATTATGGATAATGGAATGAAACTTTCATGTGGTAGCTCTTGTCCTTATCATCTATATATAATCTTTTACCTCTCTACCTGCTGAGGTGCTTGTCTCTGTTTATTAATAATCTAATCCTGAAAATTCTGTATCATA